GGGTGAGAAAAACCCTTATAATAAATTTTAATTTCATCTTCCAAAAATGATCTTCAATTGTGGAAATTACAGGTTTTTTTAAAAAAATTTGACTCAGAATTTACAGTTTAAAGTACACTTTGATGTTGTAGTTAATGTCATGACAATAAAAGAAAGTACACTGTGACTGCATCAACTGATTACATATTTTTCAAAATTTATATTTTCATTTCGTTAGTGCGTAGTCTATTTTTCGGAGTATGCAGAACAATCGAGCATATTTGTTACTATTTAAGAGGTTTACCGTTACCATGTTTGAAATTATGGTGAAAAACTGTGTTTTAGTTGAAAGTGTCTGTGTTAACACTTTGGCAAAACAAAAATCTTCTATGCAAGGCTGTGAGGGAGTACACGATCTAGTCCAAGATAATGAGAGGTGTGTAATATATTTGATTAGGCTTAAAATGTGTTTTTGTTCTCTTCTTCTTGCCTTTTTACATTGTTTTTCTCAACTATCAGCCAATTTGGACTTTGGATGGTATAAGTTAACCACAATTAATTTACAAAGATATTATTAACTGGATGTAAAGTTAACCACTACTAATGAAGATTAGCTAAAGTTTTCTTTTAGAAAGAAAAAAAAAATCAAAAGTGAATTTGTATTGCTTATAATAAGCCCATAACACAAATACAGAAAAATAAACAGGCCCATTAGTCCATAAGGCACCACGAACAATTAGGGTTTTGTAGATGTGGCCGTCACTATATTATACACCCATCTTCCACTTTGAACCTACAAAGTCATTGTTCAGTGTGTTTGATTCCAGTCTTAAGGTCTCTGTGTCTATGGATTTGTGTGTGTAATTGAGTTTTTTTTTGTTTTTTTAATCTGAAAAGGCAGCACGTCACTGATGCACTTGAGAAAGTGGTGCTTTCGGTCCTTTTAGTTGCCAAAACTGAGAAAAATCTTTAATTTTCACGAGCACTAATGCTTTCGTTTGCCTTTCTCCATGGGCTTATGAACTCAGTTGCTCGTACATTTTCTGCCTCGAGTCTTTCATAAAACAGATCATAGAACGAAAATAAAATAAAAGAAAACTTACACATACTTGTTGAATGCTTATTCAATTCTTCTACTTGTTGTTAAGTCTTTTTGAAAAAAGGACCTAATAGCAGACTTAACATGTCATCTGCTGTTGGATCTCTTGTTCCTCCTTGAGATGATAATCTCATGTTTGATTCATCCACCACTTCCCTGGATTCAGATATTGACAAGCCTTCACGATCCTCTATTGCCTGGTCTTCTTCACCTTTGACGTACTGTGAATCCATGGTTATAATTAGAAAAAGAAGATGAAGACCTTAACCAGATTCATAAAATCACTATTATCAAACACTATGAAATAGAAGAAATTGCATACCTCCTGAGCAAAGATTAATAAATCATCAACTGTGAGATCTCCATCTCCTGGACCAGTCACAGATTGAATAATCTCTGGATTCTTGCCATCGCCAATACTAGGCTTAGCTTCTTCTTCTTCTCCGATTTTGTTACTACGAACTCGTTCTCCTCCTCTTGTCTTGATTCCCACCTTCTCTGAATCATCTCTCTCTTTGGGTTTCACGATTCTTCTCGGTCGTTTCTCGGCTTTTTCCTTGGGAGCTTCTTCTGGTTCATGTTTCCTTTTGCTGTCTCTCCGATTGCTTGTAGCTGGTACATCGGAGGACGCGCCGGCAAGCATCCACGGCGGTAACCGCCTCATCTTCTCATCCATCAAATTGATCTTTTCAGACTCTTGAAAACCGGAAGAAATCAGGAAACTGCTCCTTTGTTGGGCCTTAAACTGAGCCCATTTTGTATTGATAAAGCCCAATCCGTGAAACTTGCAAAGATTTGTTTCTGGTCACAATATACCAAATTTTTAAAACAAAGAGGAAATTTCCAATTTTCCGACAACATAACACAATGCCAATGAAGCTTATCAAATCACATGTACACAACTACAAGTAGTTAAAAGTTGTAGCATAAGTTTTAAATTATGGCACAACTACAAATTGCAAAGATTAAGTAAGAAATATCTCGACGAAATTACCATATTTAGCTCCTTTCAGCCAGAAGAAACCGGGAAGACCAATAAGAGAAGAGAGAAACAATGTTACTTAGAAGAAGAATGCTGTGCAATCTTCTGCTCAAGCGAACCTTTATCAGCTCCGACAACTTTGTCCACCTGTTTGCCATCTCTCATGAAGCAAAAGGTCGGGACGCTGCTAATGTTCCAAGAAGCAGCCACGTCATTGGCCTCGTCTATGTCAATTTTCACGAAGACGACTCTTGGGTGCTGAGTGGCCAGGCTTGAGTACAGAGGAGACATGTAGCGGCACGGTCCACACCAGGTGGCTGTGAAGTATAGGATGAGCAGACGGGATGCCTTCTTTGCAGCCTTTGTTTTTGCTTCTAGCTCGCTTGTTGAGTGGATGCTAATCACTTGTCCTGTATCCATCAGGAAGAAAAGATGGGTTATCTCCTTTTTGACATGTAAATTTCATTTCTGGTTTTATAAAAGCTGTAATTGAAGCTCTGTGAGGAATATTGAGATCCAAGATACATGCAAGATGCTTGTCTGGATATGCCTATGTTATCAGGGAAATGATGCACATAAAAACTCGAGGAACGCGATAAACAATATTAAGCAAGCTGATTTGTGGCCCAATCAACTGGATTTAGTAGTTAAGAAAAGCTTATTGAGTGCAGACAATTCACTAGGACAAGACTCACAGATAAATGTTCCGACACATGTAGTTCATTTGTAGTAAAATCAAGTAGAGAACCGTTAAAAAGAAATGGATAGAATGTTACCGTCTTTGAGTGCAGCCACAGCTTCTCGCTCCTGCATTGATAGGATTTCAAAGCAAGTAGAAGAAAATCAATCACCGTGAGATGTTTGATATGATATGAAGTTGAAAATGTCAAAAGAGGTTATATTGTTAATCTCACAGATAGAAAGTAACCAGGCCTCTGTGTTTTTGGCTAAGAATGCAAAATTAATCAAAGAGAGCCACACAACAGCATTATATAAGAATCACTAATCATGGGTATGGGTCGGTCTGACCTGGGCTTCTTGCTGTTCTCGTCTCTCCCGTTCAGCCCTTTGGAGTTCCTTTTCTTTCCTCAGACGCTGATATTTTTTGCGGTGTTCTTCGATTCTCTTTACATTGGGTTCAACCTGTGAAGTATACATTAACAGCATATTAATGGTACAGAAGAACTCAAGATTTACTTAACTTCATTACAAGGCTATGAGCATATTGTTGTCACAGTAATATCAACAAAGGTAAGAGGTTTCTTTTCCATAGTTACCTTCTTAAGTGCCAACCCCATCTCCTCATCGTAGTCTAATTTTGATGCTACATGAAGATCAGCCGCAGCTTCTTCCCATAGGCCTAACATGGCCTTAGCCATACCTCGTGCTTTGCACCCCTTAGCTGAATCAGGGTTGAACTAAACCCCAAAATAAACTAGTTTAGGTGGGTCATGAAAGAAACCATTGAGATTGTAAATTACTTTCCCCAACCCATAAACTATTCAGACATAAACTAGCTTTCCCAATTCATCTTCTGCACAAATTGAACAATTTTATGTAACTCAAGTAAATGCTCACCTGTAAAGCCACGTTTGCATCGCGAATTGCAGCATTTGGCTTCTTAACTAATAGAAACACGGTAGCTGGGAATAACAACTACAAATATTCAGAATGACACTCGCATTCAGTAACAAAAAGAGAGAGAGAATAATAGAAAATTACCTCTAGTGGCGTAGAGAATTGCTGAAGTGGGGTTTAGCATTATAGCTTCTGTTAGATGATCTAAAGCTTCGTCAAACTTTCCTGGATGCCGACCAAGCATTAACGAAACCATGGGGAAAGTCTATGAACTGAACATTTTTTTAAAAATTCGATAGTTATGTACCTTCAGAGATTGCCCCCATAGCTTTGCTCTTCTCTGACTGAGCAGCCTCCCTATTTTCGTCCGTCACTTCAACAGTAGGATCTCCCATCTAAGGAAAGAAAGAAAATCAAACAATCAGGGAAGGGTTTGCATAGAGATAACCAAAGATGATAACTTCACCACATACCGGCTGAGGAGTCTTATCATTGTCTGGTTCAACTACATCAGAGTTGTCTAGTTCAACATCAGACTCCATAATTTCATCATCATCATGTTTAGGAGAGAAACTGGGTTTTGTCTCAGCCTTATCTTCATAATCTCTTTCCTGAATAATGGTTCATCATTGAATGTGACATATAGAAAGAAGAAATCGATCAATATATAGATAGTCAGCCTTAGAAAAAGGAACAAAATAAGAAAGCAAAGCCAAGTAGACCAAACAAGAACAACCATGACCTCAAGGCAAAACATTTCACAGCTTAAGCCATTGATGAACTCACAATCACCCAATTGACTAAGTGGGAGACTTATATGAGCAACCCTGTAGACTTATATACAGAATCTAAACCCAAACATGGGAGTTGCATAACAAGACAACTTACAGTGTTCTCAATCTTGGGAACTTGAGCTCCTAAACTGTACGAGAAGAGGGGAAATAAAACAAACATCGATCAGAAACTCACAGCTCCATGGAAAAGACTACAGAGAAAAGAGAACAAAATTAAAGTCAGAGAAGAATCAACCCACCTTCTGAGATATTCCTTGAAGAAAATCAGAGAAGGATCATGGAGAATCGAAGGATTCGATTTCAACTGTTCGACGAATTTTCTCAGTTCTGCTACCTGATTCGGATCCATCGTAGTCCGCCTCTTGTCTTCTCCCTCTAGAGCAGTGACTAAAGTCTCTCGAAAGAAAAACCTTGAAGCAATGATGAGAAGGAATCCTTCACCTTCAGGTCCTTATGATCGTACGGTGAGGATTAGCCGGAACACGTTGATTCCATGCGGCTGATTGTAGCGTATCGGTTAATTCGATTGTATTCGGTCTGCTCCGAACGAACATATTATTCTTTGTACCGGTCGAATCGGTTATGTATTCGCCTCAACTTAACCGCGACATATGCCCCCATATGTAAAAGAAGATTTATCGGTTTATTCTGGTTTAACTTAAATCATTCGACGCTGTAAATTGTCTTGGTTTAACCAAAACATACAAATTTGCACTGTACTGTATCAGCCTTTGCATACAGTCAAGAATTGATTAACGGATCAGAGAAATAAAAAGAAGAATAGATCCAAATCATTTGTATAAAACTATGAAGAATACATAAGTGAGCTTGAGTGATATACACAAGAAGAGTAAAGGTTGAAAAAACAAACAGTTTCTACTGATTCCCCAAGTACATAACTGATTTGTTCTCATAAGTTCCATTAGACCAAAATCTGATAAATCAATTATACACTATATAAAGCTATGAAGAAACTCGGTGTAGCCAT